AATGAACAGAAAAGCTATTTCTATTTGTCAGATAAAATCTCCATTGAACATATTCACATGGTGAATCAAACCCTCCAAATGCGGCAAGGGTCGTTTCCCTTTATTTATTTGGGATGCAATATCTTTAAGGGAAGGAAGAAGATTGAATATTTTCGGTATTTGTTGGATGCATTTGATGCTAAGTTGCTTAATTGGAAGACTAAGTTCTTGTCGCAAGGTGGAAAAATCATCCTTATATGGCATGTGCTCTCGGCGATTCCCCTCCATACTTTTGCAGCAATTGATCCCCCAAAGGCAATTATCTCAGCCCTTGAACGAAAATGCCAAAATTTCTTATGGGGTGAGAATGAAGAAGGGTACAAGAAACATTGGCGTTCTTGGACTAAGCTGACCGCTTCACCGGAAGAGAATGGATTAGGTTTCATTGTCTCAACGACATCGTACAAGCTTTTTCACTTAAGCATTGGTGGAAGATACACACACATGCTGGAATTTGGTCCAGGTTTATCATGTCTTTATCTAATTCTTCGAAGGATAAAACATCTTGGACAAGAGCGTGGGGAGTTCATCATCTTGCTATATCGAGATCAAAGGTTAAAATTGAGTCGTCTTTTTGGTTTGATAGATGGCTATCATCAGCGGAGATTTGGACTGAGGAATATGCCCCGCTTGCTAGAACACTAACAGTCCGGGAATTTTTCCAATGCAAAGATTTTTTCTTGTAGGTTTTCGATGGCTTATTGAAGCCGGACGATGCAGTGAAGTTGCGTGCTTTGGATATAGTTTTTTCTGAGGAAAAGGATCGGCTGGTCTAGACTCCATCGTTGAGTTTACAATAACCTAGGCGTACAAAGACACTCGGCAAATCAGAGAAGCTTTTCCTCCTTTACGAAATTTTTGGAATAAATATGTTCCTTTAAAGATTTCTTTTTTCAAATGGAGGATTTTTAATTGTTTGCTGCCTTTTCCAGATATTTGAGCAAGACGAACTTAATGTTGAATCCGTCTAAATGTTCTTTTTGTCAAGCTGCAGAAGAGACGATTGATCATATTTTTTATAATTGCCTGCGGATCATGAATGTATGGCATCATTTTGCAACAATGTTCGGTGTTGTGTTGGATAATAACACAGGCTAGTGGACTCTTCTTCAATCTTGGCAAGCTTTAGGGAGCTACACCGCGGCGAAAAAATCAATTATCATGGTTACACCTCTCTTCTTGTTATGGGAAATATGGAAGCTTCGAAATAAAATGGTCTACAAAGGTATATCTTTTTCCTCTGATTTTTTTGATTGAATGTGTTGTTACTAATGTTTCCAACATGTAGAGTGTACACAATATCCAAGCGAAATCCCTAGGGGAGCATCAAGAAGTGGAAGATCTTTTCAAGGTGCAAGTGCTAAAGCCTCCAAAAAAGAAAGTGAAGATCGTCAAATGGAAGCCCCCCGACCAAGGTCACTTGATTCTCAATACAGATGGATCTACTTTAGGATAGCCAGGAGAAGTCGGATGGGGATATATTTTGCGAGGTGAGCAAGGCTTATTCATCACAGCTGGATGCAGCTATATAGGTACGAAGACTAGTTTGGAAGCAGAATTACAAGGCATATACCAGGGCTTAAAAGTGCGCATGGAAAGGAGACTCTAACGAATAGAAGTGCAAACGGATAATAATGTAATCATCCTCTATCTTCGAAAAGGGGAGAATTTTCCTTGGAAACTCTCTCATTACTTCCGAGGGATACAAGACATGTTAAATCTCTCGCATTCAAAAATTGTTCATATTTTTTGAGAGGCAAATAATGTAGCTGATGAGCTCGCAAAGCAAGCTTCGTCAGGTGTTACAAAGCAGTATAACTCTCTAGGTGAGCTCCCACCATCAATACGTGGAAAAGTTCATCTTGATAGTTTTTCAGTTCAATATCTTCGGATTAGATAGGTTTTTCTTTTTTTTAGTGTAAAGAGGAGTCGTGGGGTACATGTTTAAATCTTTGTAAGACTACCTCTTAGTATAGTTTTTTTTATCTTTTTAATATAGAGATGCCACTGGATTTTAGAAAATCTTTGTGAGGCATCCTCTTAGATTATTCATAGAGCTGTCATGAGATTTTATTAAATCTTTGTACGACAGACTCTTCTTTCGGTAAGTTTTAAGCACTTCCATTGTAATTTTTTACTTTTATTAATAAAATGGGGGGATGCCCGCAGGTACCGCCCTGGTTTACAAAAAAAAATAATAAAGTATAGTTGGTTCAAATAATTTGTCCGGGTTCATAATTTTCAGGATAGGAAAAAATAAAGACTACGCAACAAAGACAAAATTAAAAAGATATTATATTATAAGAATAATACACGAACGAACTTCTAAATAAAGGTTGCAAAAGGTATATATAGAGAGAGATAAAAAATATAGACAAATTTATGAACAAAAATAATGAAAAATATTATAGGAAGAATTTAAAAGATATGACTTGGGGTAGAAATATTTAGAGAGAAAAGATGTACAACAAGTTATGTTGGATGATTTCGAATACTGAAGATTATAAATATTGAAGATTATCTATTTATAATTTCTTTAAAAAAGAAAAGCATATTGAGAAATTGAAATTAATTATATGGAGAAAATAACTAATGAAAAGAATAAGTAAAAAAAAAAAAGAGAGAGAGAGAGAGAGACAACGGAGATAAGAGTGAAAAAAATGAAATAATTATTATAAATTTTTAGGATACGAAAAAATGAAGACTATGCAACCAACAAAAAAAATTGAAGTAAACACTATATTATAGAAAATAAAAATAAATTTATAAAAATTAAGAGAATGCTTTAAAAATTATAAACCTCTAAATTAACAAACTAAAAAATATGGACAATAAATCATGTTACATGATTTCAAATATCAAAGATTATTTTAAATGTACTTAGAATAGAAAAACATATTGACATTAAAAATTACACAATTGAACTTTATATCTTGAACAATAAGCACAACGTGTGGGGTAAACACTAGTATTATATTAAAACAAAATAAGTTTGTGGAAAAAAGTACACGTGTCAAGTTCTTGTTAACCTGTATCCCGCCAGAAGTTTTTAGCATACAAATGTTCGATGCTTTAATTGTTAAACATATTTTACGGAAACAATCAAAATTTATGGATGAATTTGATTATTTAAGGAAAGAATCACAAATTAGTGGTCATGTATTCAACGATTTAATGAAGAGATGGAAGTTTCATTTGAAATGATATGAAAATAATTAGGAAATGATAATTACACTTGAATGTGGATGTTTTATCCACAGTTATCAGTTTAAAGTAAATTAAAAAATATCACAAATTATTTGTCATTTATACTTTGAAAATAATTTTTGGTCACAATTTCATAATAATTATTGGTCATTTATTTGGTCACAATTTTAAAATAATTAATGAATGATATTATGATTGAATGTGGAGGTTTTTACCTTACATATTCGATTTTTTAAAAAAGGAAAGGATTACAAATTATTGATTATGCATTTATTAATTGATTTAAAGTAAACGTGTTAGGACTACTATTTTAAACTCCACCCCCCTATATGCACTTGTCCACAGTATTGTTCTTCTCATTCTCTGCGTAATATAGGTTAGAATTATGTGTTTTGAAATTTATTACTTTTTTATGCACCCTCACTGTTTCAATTTTGCTTTTAAAATACTTTTTTTGGTATTGGTTGAATGCGATAAAAATAACCACCGAATGCCATCGGTATGGCCACTATTCTTTTTCTTATATTGTGGAAATTTTTTCAAAACATGGTTTGCAAGTTATGTTTATATTGTATAAATTCTCCCAAAACATGGCTTGCAAAACCTAATTTGCAGGTTAGGTTTACTAATGTAAATTATCTCAAAACATGACTTGCAAAATATGATTTGTAAATTATGTTTATATTGTGTAAATTCTCCCAAAACGTGGCTTGCAAAATCTAATTTGCAAGTTATATTCACTTTCTTTTAACTAAACCGTAACCCTATCCCAATACATGGTTTGCTATACAATAGCAAATAATGTTTATATGATGTGTCAATTTTACAATTACTATTAATTCTTCATATTTTTATAAAGTATACTTTTTACTACATTTATATACATGGCTATTCTAAAAACTAATTTGAAAGTTATGTTAAGTATTTAAAATTCCTAAAACATGACTTGCAAGTTGTGTTGACTTTTTTGAATTATCCAAAAAACAAGTTTTGCAAAATCTAATTTACAATTTATATATGATTAGTTTCTCTAAATCTTCCAAAACATACAAGTAATTTTTCTATTACTATTATGCAAGTCATATTAGAATTCGAAATTGAAATATTTGTTTTCTTTTTTTTTTAAACAAATTGCGCTTTGGAACCATTTCCTTTACCCAAAACATGGTTTGAAAAATCTAATTCGCAAGATATGCTCTTTTTTATAAGTATTTCCAAAACTTGGCTCACAAAATCTAGCTTGCAAGTTATAATTTCTTTTGTAACTTTTCCTAAAACATGGCTTACAAAATTCAATTTGAAAATTATATTCACTTTTTAACATTTTTCAAAACATAAGTTGCAAAATCAGATTTCAAGCTAGGATCTCTTTTGTAAGTTTAGGCAAAAAAATGATTTGTAAAATTCAATTCAAAGACTTTATGCAGAAAAAGGGAGAAATCAAAGAAAAATACATTTTGTTAAATCATCTTCTTTACTACATCTTTATCCTCTCTCTCTTTTTTTTTTTTTACTCTATTCTTCTCATTCAATAATAAATAAATATGTCCGGGCAACGGCTCAAGTCAAGAATCTAGTGTATAAATATATACATGTATATATATATATTTAGGGTACGGAAAAACACTTTTTTCTTCTTTCGAGGGAAAACTTTGTCAAAGACTTTTTTTACCTTGAAAATAATGGAGTATTTTTTACTCCAGAAAGAAAACCTTTCACAAGTTTATAATTTGCTCTTAAGTCCTTCAATTTCTAAAATATTTCACCTAAAGGCTAAAGATTAATACTCTGCAGCAGGCGACTAGTGACTAGTAAGCAAGAAACTTTACATGAAGCGGAAGACAAGTAGAAGTGTAGAACATTCTTGATTTCTGGAGAGAAAAGGTGAAAAACCTCCTTAAACCTCAGAAAAGGGTTTAGGAACCTCTTTAGATACCTTGTAAGGTTTTGGGAATCTTTTATATCCTCAAGCCATGGGAGGTCTTGATGCTTCTGATGCTCTTGCAGGTTTGTTCTAGTTATCCTTGATTTATTTATCATTCATGTGTTAATATTTTTTTTCTTTTGAGTAATTTGTTTTAAATCAATGTACAGTGAGGGACAAGGTTCAGAACTTTTTGAATGCTGCACTTACTGGGAACATTGAAGATTTTAAGAGTAAGTTCGCACAAATTTTACTCTTTCGAAGTTTAAATTTACCCCTTTTCCCTTATTTGAAAGAACTATTCTTTTTCAGTTTGATGAAGAAAGTTTCTACTGAATTTGAGTATTGGTTATTATTTATGTGCATTCAGAGTTTGCTAAACAGCTTGATGATGGGAAGGGTCTTCAACAAACAGTGGCAGATGTTAAGGATGCTAATAACAGAGGGGCTTTGCATTTTGCGGCCAGGGAAGGCCAGACTGATATGTGCAAGTACTTAGTTGAGGAGCTGAAGGTTGATGTAAACACAAAAGACGATGATGGTAATATGTTTATATTTTTTTCGGTCTTAAATCACTGATATAGTCTGTTTGCTGTCTCTTCTTCATGGATAATTAATTAAACAAATTCTGAATAGTCAATGTGCTTAAATATTCTTGAGGTGTGGTAGAAAAAAAGCAAATTAAAGTTAGGAACTTGGTTCATTGAATCTCCTATTTGTTGTTTGTTTGAAAGGAGTATCCAGCGTGTGCTTTGTTTGAAATCTTCCTTCCCATTATGTTGCTTGGCGTCTGTGGCTTTTGTGCGCTTAAAGGCTTTAGTTTGAACTAGATATGGTTAATGTTTGACATCGATACCTGGATTCTACTGGAACTTGTCAGTTTAGTGTAAAGCGAGCTCTTAAGTCTAAATCTCAATCATGCTTAAGGATGCTGGCTTCTGAATATAATTGTTTTTGTTCTATTCTTCTAATGTTTCCTGTGAGCTTCGTTTCATGGCTTAGTACTTTTGAGTTAGCCTTAACATAATTTGTATTCAGTGGGCCTTAGTACTTAATCTCCTGTTCGAATGTTCTGGACTTTATTCCACTTGTCATGAACTGATGACATAGTAGTTCCCTCTAGTATTTTCTTTTTGCACCATTAATCAAGCCTGGGGTGGGGGATTTAATTTGGACTTGTGACAGTAAATTTGGCTGAATTTGTTGTTCGTAAGTTATGTTGGTAATACAAGTTTATGTAATTTTGGTGATGATTCAACTGAACTAGATAACTTCTTATTTTTTCAGTTTGAGAAATCCCTCTATATATAACCCCTTTTTCATTTGGATAGACTATTATAAACTTTTGGAAACTGGCATAATGCATAATTTGATTGGAACAAGTTGCTGTACTTAATTTAGGTTGTATCATGTTTCCGCATAGGTTTTGCCTAGGGTATGACAATAGAGCAACAGTGTCATGTAAATTTTGCTAAAGGTATAATGAATTCTGGCATTCATTGACAAAGCTCTGGAATGGGATTATAATATCTGGTGGTGTTCACATGTGCTGTAAATGAAGTGTACACGCAGACGAAGTTGATCCACGAAATCATAGAGTACAAAACTGAATGCATATTCATGTGCCTACGTAGTTGTTTTGTTGATAACATTTGTAACAAATTATTCAATTGTCTGATTTCTATAGAGATTTGTGGTGGTACTGGAATCAGAGGTTTTTGTTGATTTATAATTTACTCGAAAAGCTTGCTGATTTAACTTGGTTCCCTTTATCAATGTTATTCATTTCCTGTTGATTTTACATTTACATGAAAAGATTGCCGCTTTAATTTGGTTTCCTTTACCAATGTAATTGCATTCTCTTTTAATTTTACATTTACACAAGAAGATTGTTGATTTAACTTGGCTTCCTTTACTATTCTGCTTGCATTTCCTGTTGTGTCGATTATCTTTTAAATGTAGCAACTGTATAATTCCTGGGGTTCATCCTGTAGATGAGACTCCTCTTCTTCATGCTGCTCGCCAGGGACATACTGTGACTGCCAAATATCTTCTTGATTGTGGCGCTGATCCTACAATACCCAGTCAATTAGGTGCCACAGCTTTGCATCATTCGGCCGGAATAGGTATGAGAGATGGCCTGAAACTTTTTCGAAACGCTCATCACAATTGACTAATACTTTTATTATACGTTCCTCTTACTCTTTGGTCATTGAAGTTCCATTGCATTTTCATTTCTCTGCTTTGTAAGACAATTGCTTTTAGATGGAAAAGTCATGTTTTCTTATGGATCTCACCTTTTTCATTACTAAGAGATCAATGCTCAGAGGGGAAATTGGAAATTTTTCACTCTCTACCTATTGAAGTATAGTCTCTCGTAGATTGATGGAAAGGGAATATGATTGCGAGCATATATGCTCTTTGGACATTTGAATAAAACATCCTTCTCTTTTGACTTTTAAAAAAGTCAAACAATAGCTAATTCTGGAATCCTCTCTTTGTTGCAGGAGATACTGACTTGCTGGAGTGTTTGATTTCAAGAGGTGTGGATGTTAATTTACAAAGTGATGCTGGCACACCTCTTATTTGGGCTGCTGGTCATGGTCAGCTAGATGCTGTTAGACTGCTGCTAAAACATAATGCTAATGTTAGTTTCTCTCACTTTCCCCTTCTATTTTGTCCATATGTTTAGCAAGCTATGTTTATGATGTTTATAGATCATTGAGACACTTTCTCCTTTTGATACTGGGTTTTATTCTTTTTTATTTTTTATTTTTTGGCTTGCCCTCTACAATATCAATCCTCGCTCTGTAGAGTGTATGCAATGCCACAGGTTTTGTTATATTGTTTACCCTTATGCTCTTAATTTGTGGCAGCCCAATCTTGGAACTGAAGATGACGTCACTCCTTTGTTGTCGGCCGTGGCGGCTGGTTCTTTGCCATGCCTGGAATTGTTGATTCAGGTACAGCAGCTTTGGTTTTGTCGTTTTCTAAAACCTTTTTGCTTTTCTTTTAGATTTGTACCATTCTGTTCTGTAGTGTGACATGCTTCTGATTTCTGAAGTTTTATTCATTCGAGTTATGGCTTGATTGGTTGTATGACAATGGTGCTTTAAAATTTTGTTTTGTTTTCTCTGATATCTTCATGTTTGCTTTGGTTGTGCTTCGTTATGGTTTTACCCCTGATTCACTGTCTATCAAATTGGTGGTGATGGATTATGTGTCTGAGAGTTGTAAATTTCCTGAAAAGAAGCCGCTTTCATGTCATGCAGTCTATTTTTGTCATACCATGAATTTTATAATGTTTCTGACTGTTCTTTCTCTCAAAGAAGAGGCAAATTGAATAGTGCGCATGGTGGGATAATTAAATGTGAATATTCTGCTGTGCTAGGTGGCTAGGGTCTTTACTTCTTTAAAGGTCCCAAGTATGTGTCAAGTTTTACTTTTCTGTTTCCCTTCATTTAGGCAGGAGCTGATGTGAATGTTACTGCTGGTGGAGCTACTCCTTTGCACATAGCTGCTGACCATGGTAGCCCTGAGATGATTGAGTGCTTACTGAAAGCTGGAGCTGATCCTAATGCTGGTGATGAGGTAAAACTTTATGAACGATTCTGGGCTCTTCTGTGGAACCTTTTATTTCATGGCTAGATAGTCGCTTTAATTGTTAGGTGATGACTTCATGGAGGCACATTAGGTAATATCTTGGATAAAGGGGACTCTTTCAACCTACATGAATATGGGGACTCTTAAGCAATGTTTAAAGAGGATAGCTGCTTCTACTTTTCGATGAGACTACACCGTGATGAAATTTTAACCAAAGATTTTCTATATGATGAAATTTTAACCAAAGATTTACTGGTTCGTCATCTATAGAATACATCTTCTCTGGTTTTAATCACTTGTCCCATGTACTTTGGTTTTGTTTTGTGAGACTTATATGGAAATGTTGAGGTCCATCTCACTTTTGCTCTGATAAAGTATTATATATTTCTCCTGAGAATAATAATCTCCTGCACATCTGGTTGGGTTAAATTGTCATTTATTTCTCGTTATAATGTACCTTTGGCACATTGTTTTGTTATAAACTAATTGAATTTTTTTATGATCTTACTGAAGATGATTATTTTTGAGCTTCAGCTCCTCCAACTCAAAAGTTTGAAGCAATCTACCGATTTCTATTTTACTTCTTTCTTTCGTTTTATCTCATAGTTAAAACTTTTACCGAAGAGGGATGATTCCACAATTATTTGTTTTTTTGATTCTTCTAAGTTGTAGAGAAAGGAAACATTGCTGCTACCAAAATGTTTTAAGGTTAATTGATGTTGTCATGGATGATTTTTTTCCGGAACACTCTTACTATTCATTTTTTATATACATATAAACCGGAGTTATATCTTTTATATTTAGTTTGTTGGATACAGTGACTTCTTTTTGGGAGAAAAAAGGCTGTTGAAGGTAGACATCATCTGCAAAAATGACCCATTGCAGTTAGAGGCATAAACATTTTTGATTGAAAAATTATACCAATATCAGTGTCTTGTATAACAGTCATGAAGTAATAAGTCCATGCTGATTATTGTCATCAACAGGATGGTAGTAAACCTATACAAGTTGCTGCTGCAAGAGGTAACAAGAAAGCTGTTGAGATCCTGTTTCCTGTAACCTCGCAAATTCCCGGAGTCCCAGAGTGGAATGTCGATGGAATACTTAAACATTTACAGTCTGAAACTGATGGAAAACCGAAGGTTGATTCATTTTCCTTCAGTTGGTGGTTTAAAGTGTTTCTTTGTACTACGTCATGTGATCTACTGCTATGATTATTCCTTTGTACTATGTCATGTGATCTACTGCTATGATTATTCCATCCTTCATAGCTTCTTTGCGATTGTTTTGGTTCAATGAGAACTTCTTAGTTGTCATAGTTGAGTTCTTCGAAGTTCAGTTTCTGGGTTTGCGAGTGGTTGTTTCATACATTGCCCACTGCTCTTGTTTTTGTATCAATTAGACTGTCTTTCCCCAAGTTTGCCAGATGTTTTCAATGCTTCACAATTGACTGGGAATCTGATACTTCTATTGACATTAAATTTTTCTAGTGGACGTCTTTATTTTTCCTCCTCCCCCCCCCTTAAATTTAGCTAACCTGTCTTCAACTGAATGTCTTTCAGGAAGGAAATGAAATCAACAGTCAGAAGCAACATGTACCCGAGGTACCTTTAGTAGTTTGAATTGGCAGATTTGTCTGACCACCCGAAATAGTTCATCTTGTTCTCTTTTACTGGCTTGTGATGAATGTCATTGATTTGGTATTTAGCACTGTACTCTGTGGTGAATCTTATGTACCCTAGCATTCTGTTGTTTCTAATGTCTATTATGAGATGAATTCGAGAGACTTCATCTAGTTTGTATTGACATGTAACATAAATGACTTTTTTTGCAGGTGGCACCGGAAGCCAAAAAGAAAGCTGCTGAAGCAAAGGCAAGAGGAGATGAAGCCTTCAAAAGGAAGGATTTTCCAATGGCTGTAGATGCTTACACACAGGTTGTTGCTTAGATTTTTGTTTCTTTCCCCAAATTTTCTTCCTATTATTATGATGATTTCTGGACTAAGTGGTAAAATTGTTGACTAGTATGCAACTAGAGAACTAAGTGGCTTTCAGATGAGTTGAGATTGAGTTGTTGGTTATTTACTCGTTTTAGGAAACTGATTAAAGTTGTTGTTCATTTGTAGCAAAGCTTTTAACTTCTGAGAGAATTCCCAAATCAGGATAAAAGGAGAAACGAAACAAAGAAATTAATTATGGGCCTGGACTGAAAGAGAAAGTGGTACAATTGCTGACTCGTTACATAAAATTAGTTGAAAGTAGGATGGCTTTTTTCATGTGCGCATTTGATCTTTTGCTTTTGAACATGCCCCTACCTTTATAATTTTTAATGTACTCACCGGGAAGGCCTCTTTTTTTGCAAAGTTCCTTAAGCTTTATTGATGCATTTACACTGCCGATATAAGATATCACTTAGGAATGAATTCCGTCTGCACCTACTTTTTTAAATGGAAAATCTTGGAGGTGAAATGATGAGAACTTTGTTCACAGTTATGTATAAAATCAAGTGATTGTGCTTGTTTCTTTCCTTCACTGTGGGTTTTCATTTATCTTTTGCGTTTGGATGGATGTCTGAAGATAAAAAATATATTCTGCGCAAGCGGGATGAGAATGATATTTTTGGTAAAGGAGAGTCTATTGAAGCCATAGCTAAAGCAAGTCTTCATAGGAAATTTGTCAAAAAGGGGTTATGTTTTGAAAATGCTTTCCCAAGTTAAGACGTAAAACCAAAACAAATAAAAGGAATCCAAGGCAGAGGTGCTAGTCCTGTCTGTGGTTGTAATTAGTGTAACCCCCAATTTAGACATTTTACCTCTTAGCGAGTATAAATACTCCAGCCAGACGTTCTCAATCTTTCTTCATGGTAGCGTTTTGTAGTTATCTTCTAGTTCAGCATTTGTTCTTTTTCTTCGTTGGGGGTGTTGAACTAGGCTAATATAATGCAGTTTGGCGTTACAATCTTTCTTCTGTTTCACTGCATTCAACCTCTCGCAACAATAAACCACCCCTTGTGATTGTGTGCTGTTTCACTGCAGTCGGCCTCTGCCAATAGTAACCATCCGTAGTGAGTTAATCTGATATTACTTGTGGAAACTTGAACCACGTTAAAAAGTATTGGAACCTTGGGAAATGAAATTCTGGGATCATTATTGTAAAAGAGTTGCATCTTCCAGCTGAGCATTACTTTATTCTTGGAATGAGAAGAGCTCTAGCAAATAACTTGTAATATAAGGACTACAGTGTCAACAACCTAATGAGCAATGTGTATCCAATGTTAACAATAAATACCCATAAATATTGTATGAGAAATTTGCCCTAAGCTATTTTGTGTATCAGCAATTGACGTGTTTAATCTCATTGTAGCTGCTCTGAATTCCTTTCGTGGATGTGCTAAATGGAGAACATAGTAATCACCTGAACAGTGAACATGGCTTTTCTTGTGTGAACCTGCTAGTGCATGCTTTGGACATGGGTATTCTTTTCTAACGCTTAATTCTTCATATTTTTGGATTTTGTTTTAGGCTCTTGATTTTGATCCAAGTGATGGAACTTTGCTTTCCAATAGAAGTCTTTGTTGGCTCCGTCTGGGCCAAGCTGATCATGCTTTATCTGATGCTAGGGCCTGCAGGGCACTCAGACCTGATTGGCCTAAAGCTTGCTATCGTGAAGGTGCAGCTTTGCGATTGTTGCAGGTATGCATCATTTGGGTCTACTATACTAAAATTTTACCTTTGATAATATCACATATTTGCTTTCTTATGGTATCTGTTGCAGAAATTTGAGGAAGCTGCAACTGCTTTCTATGAAGGTGTCCAGCTCGACCCTGAAAGTAAGGAGCTTGTGGCCGCTTTCAGGTATGTTTCAATTTTCATCATTGAATTAGAGTATGTAAGTGCTAATTGAATTTAAGGTGTCAACTGGCCCTAAATTTATCTGCCCCGTGTAGTGTCTCATTTGGGACAAATTGAATATTTTTCTTTAAGCCATTCCAAGATGCATGCGTCGACATAACCAATGTGGAAGATGTGGAAGTGTACAGGATATGCCCACAGTTTTTCACTTTCCTGATCCTTGACAACCAAATTAGTGCCATATAGACTCGACTTGATTGAAAAATATGTAATACTGATGCACCCCGTATTAGCCTTTTAGTTTTGTTAGTTCTTCTGCTTGGCTGGGATGCTAGTTTGCTTTAAAATGGTTTCAGGGAAGCCGTGGAAGCAGGGAGAGAAGCTCACAATAAAGCACAGAAGTCGTAATTGGAGCTGGGAGGTTCAAAGAAGAGAACGATTACAACATTGATGCGATGACCTGCAAATTTGGCTTTCTGTGATTCAAGTGTGGTGCTGTCGGATAAAATACATATAGATATTGTTTAATGAAGAGATGAGATATAGGTTTTCCCTGCATTGAAATTCAGGTCTGGCTAAATAGTTGATCAAATGATTATATTGATTTTCTTTTGTTGTATCATGTTCACTTTATTCCGTATCTGGTTAATGCTCACTTTGTTAGGTTGAAGGTTTCATTAACTTACCTATTTAGGCTTTTATTTGATTATTAAGAAAGTAGTATTCACCAGTTTCGTTACAAAAAATCATATTGAGGGCTTATCTATGTGAGAAATTCTCACTGGTGGCTAAAAGCCAACTCAAAACTCAATATAGACTATTTTTTTGGGACAGAGATAGTATAATATAATGGTTAAACCATCCAATTGCACTTTGTGGCCGCAGCTAAATCATTATTCTTAAAACTACAGTACATAGGATTACTTCAAATATCACAGCACTGATGGCATATTGTTTACGCTAATTAATTAGAAGCAATCAGGATGAACATGATCACGTTAATTCACCTTAATATGTGCATGTCTGTAAAAAATTATAAGGATATTATTTTTATAATTTTTAAGCATACTTATTTATTTTCTAAATTAATTTCTTGTAATTTTGTTTTTGTTTACGTTGAGAATTCCACTGGAGGTGGACTAACAAACTCTTAAGTTAGACTCCATGAGAAATTGGTTCTCAATAAAGTGGGTCTTTTCTCAAAAAAAATTAATTAAAATAAACGTGGATAAATTTATATTTTCCAGAATATCTGTGGACAAAACTATATTCAACGGATTTCCGAAATTCGAGTTTTGATTAAAATTAAGCATTCGGATTTCTGAAATCCGAGTTTACATTTAATATTAAAATAATAAGTAAATAAATTTTGTGAAATAATAGATTTTAAAAAATCAGAAAATGATTTGTGAAATCCGAATTTAATTAAAAAATAATAAATTGAGGTGCGAAATTTTTGAATCTAAAACTGGAATTCCGTAATCCGGTTACAAATATTCGGATTTCCGAAATCCATATGCTTTTAATTTTGGTTGGTGGAAGTAGGTATGTGCTATAAATTGGAGGACCAAAAAAGAATTAAAAAATCCGGAATTGACTAAACTCGGATTTCGGAAATCTGAGTCTACTATATTTCGGATTTAGGGAATCCGAGTTATTTACGGACTCGGATTTTTGAAATCCGAGTTTAGCGTGCTATAAAAGAAAAACAATCAGACAGTTCTCATTCGAGAACTGAGTTTGATTTTCTGTTTCTGCAGCTCAAACAAGGGCAAATTGGAGCTTTTGATGCATTCTTGTCGCTAGATACGTGGGAATCGTTATTTGAAAGAGGTTAGATTGCAAAACCATGTTATTTAGTTTAGTTTTGTGTTATTTTGATTGTTAGAATGATGTATGATAGATTAGGGTTTTTGTTGGTTGGTTGTTTGGATGTTTTAAGTGTTGATTTTGAGATTAGAGATGAGAAATCATAGTTATTCATGAGATATGGAAGTTGATTTATAAGTATTTTAGTATTTTATTGGTTTTTTGAATTATGAATGGAGTATGTATGGTGTATTTGTTGATTTTGTTATTAAGAAATTATTAGATATTGATGTTTTTTTTTTCTTAAACAGTTATCAATGACATGTAATGTATCATACATGCTTAATTTGTTTCATACAAGTTTGTGATAGAGAATGGTAGCCTCAACACTTTTTCGAATATGCCGGATGATGGTTTGTTTGTTGAGGAAAGGTTGTCATATGATGAATTGGTTAGTAAGATTTGTATGACACTTGGTTGGGATCCAACACACGTGAAACTCCACCTTTCGTTGATTTTCGATAGTCCCGGTGGTAGGCGTGTAGTAAAGATCAGGAATGATTCGCATGTAGAGTTCATGAACCGTGTAGCTCCAACGTCATGTTTGGATCTATATATAGATTTGGAAGATATTACTCACGAAGAAAGAGAAGCGAGTTTAGAAAATAACGTGTCATTTGGTGGTTTCCAAAGGGGGGAATGTGCTAGTACTTCTCGAAACCGTGATAAAGAGGAAACACCTTTATTTGCACAAGATGAGTACAATGAAGAGTTGGATCCCGACTACATAGCTCCAAGCGAAAGCGAAGAAGACCGTGATGTCTCTGCAGAGAGTGATTTTCAAGAAAGTGATGATGAATTATTGAGAAATGAGGAAAGGGATCTTAATCCATTGTCCCGGCGCCATGTATATAGTAAGATGGGGAAATGGGATGCCTCGTGTGTGGACAAGGATAAGTTTACTCTTAAGATGTGGGATGAGACCCCCGAAGGAATGGACATTGGTGTTTGTTTCAAATCCCAATCAGAAGCAAAACATGTAGTGAAATTATGGAATATCCATCATAAAAGAGAATATAAGGTTGTAGCGATTAGTCCAACGACGTGGTTTGTGCGGTGCAGAACATTAGATGTACCAAGTGAGGATGGTGATCCAGAATGTGAGTGGAAGATGCGTGTATCTTTGAAAGATCACGGCCTTCACGAAATCGTGAGATGGCATGATGCATATAATTGCATAACTCCCGTGAATGATAATGACAATCGGTGTGTGGACGCGTCTTTAATTGGTAGACTCATCAGGAAAAAGGTTGAAGACAAATGTAGATTATACAGTGGTCTCGGCACAGAAAGATGTAAAGACCTTATTGAAAGTAAATGTGTCATACAAAAGGGCGTAGCACGGGAGGAGGAAAGCCATAGAAGCGGTCCATTGTCCCTAATCCGGCGACTCCCCTCTATATGTTTTTTTTTTTTCTGTAAATTCTTTTTGTAAATTATTTTTGTTTTTTATTCGTGAATGTACTGGAATTGTGTAATCCGAGTTTGTTGGTTTGTTGAATATTTAAGGTCAAGTGTGTAGTCGTCCGGTTACTGTTGAATTTGGTTTAATGTAGTTTAGTTTTTTTTTTTTTTTTTTGGCCGAGAGTTGTTTTGGTTTATAAAGGTCGGATCAATTTGGCTGAATGCGGTTCTTGAATATTGAATATCTATAGTATTAGTGCATATTATTGATGTGCAAATGTTTCTTTCTTTGTTGAATGTAGGATTGCAATGGAGGAGGCATCTAGCTCGCAATATGAATATCAACCTAAATATCTTCAACTGGCGCCGTTAAAAGATAAAGTACTATACCGTCAAGCAAAGCATAGGTCCTAAGCTGTCTATGACAACACGATCCCCAACATTAAAACATTCCGCCTCAAGAGCCGTAGATATGATAGCGACTTTTGGGGGATATACGAGAATTATACGGCACCGGAGGTTAAGGAAGTCATCAAAAGAGCCGATTTTGAGGGGATAATGAAAGTTGGCTACAAAAGATTGGATCTCGTTCTCATTACGGCGTTGGTGGAATGGTGGAGGCCAGAAATCCACACTTTTTACTTCAATTTCGGAGAGGCGACTGTAACACTGCAGGATGTCGAGGTCCTCTTTGGTATTCGGGTGGATGGTAACCCGGTGTACAGGACGACAGTTAGCCGGAGTGCAGAGGAATGGCGGGCGAGATATGAGACTTATTTGGGATTCCGGCCAGCCCAAATAAATAGTCAATTTGTCAATATTGGCTTTTTTGAGGATGAGATGGGTCATGCACTCCCTGAGGATTCCACAGTCCAGCGATTCGAGCAAAGGGCTCGGACCCTAATACTGCATTTTATGAGCAGTTTTATGTTTCCTACCAAGACTCAAAACACTGTCAATCTGCAGTTGCTGGTTCATGTTGAGGATTTGGAGCAGAGTAGTCGATACAGTTGGAGATTGGCCCTGCTGGCTAGTTTGTACTCTGGACTGTGTGAGGCATCCCAGTACACCATGCACGACATCACTGGCTGTCTATATTTGCTACAGGTACGTATTAGTTTTCAATAGGTGTCATAATTGTTTTTTCGACATTATAATTTGAAGCATTAACATTATTATTGAAATTTATTAGGTATGGGCGTATGAGCGGATCGAGAGAATCGCACCATACAGAAGAGGAGTAGATTATATAATTGATGAGACCGCTCCATTAGCTCAGCGGTACGTATTTTCATTTCAAAATAACTCAATGTTTATTTCTATTTATTTCTTATTCACCTTTTTGACTAATTCAAATGTACTCCCTTCGTGTTTGTTCATTAAGGTGGGAATGTAGGTACACCTACGGAGACGTCCCAAGGAGCAGCACGCCAGCTCTTAGAGATCAATTAACAAGCCTGCGCGTTGAAGATGTAAGTACTGAATTTGGTATTATATTTATTTTGAATTTTTTTTCTTTCGGTTATACCTTTTAAATAAATTTTTTTCGTGCAGTTTCGGTGGCAACCATATGCAAAGGTCCTTGATGGACTCTCTGATTTCTGTAAACAAGGCCAACCCATTTGGACGACCAGGTGTTGGATATTCTTTTGGGCTATTAGGGAACCCCACGAGTCGGGCAGAGTTGTGAGACAATTTGCATACATACAGGATATTCCTAGGCGTCCTATGATTAAAGATAACGCAGCATTTCTTCTCGATCACGCCCACAGTATGTATTGGTATCCTAACAACAATTGGGTGGATCACCATTGTGAAAAATACGTCCTCATTGGAAAAAAAGGAGAGAAGAGTACCTGCTACGAGATTTGGAGGTCGGATACCTTGGCTCCGTATACGAGGAGTACTATGAATGGTTCATGGTGAATACTGTCAAGCTGATATACAATCCCAAAAATTATCAACCTAAAGGATACGAGACTTCTTCGAGCCGAGTGAAATTATATGTGAGTTCATTCTATATTTTTGGTTTTTTTCCTTATATTTTCCTTTTATTTTTTTTATTTTTTTTTACTCTCTTAATTAACGTTCCAATTTCTTTTCAGGGTGAAGTATTGAACAACATTCGGGTTCCGTGCACTTTAGAGATAAACGAGATGATAACAATGCCCTATGTTTCATTGTTGTTGGTTCTGTAAATAGGTTTTGGACTAGTTAAAACCAGTTCATTTTTTTTTTTCATTTCTGACACAGATTCAGATTTAGGAAATCCGAATAGGTAACCAACTGGGAGTTCCTAGTTTGCAGAAAACAGAGGAGATGCGGATTACAAGAATCCGAATTTACCCTTACTCAGATTACCGTAATCCGGATTTACCCAATTCTAATTTTTCAACACTTATATTTTTTTCCTATCTGAAAATTAATATTTTATTCGTAAACACGGATTTGAAAAATCCGTATTCATATTAATTACACTAATTTCAGTCATTAAGTTAATATCGGATTTATATAACACAAATTTGGGTTTTCCTCATCCGAGTTTCCAAGGATTCGGATTTTCGAAATTTGAGTCTTTCCTGGATTCGGATTTCAGAAATCCGCACCATATAATTCTGTCCACAAAATTTTTGAAAGGTTTATTTTTGTCCAGGTATATTTCTGGAAGTATATTCCAGGAAAAAACTCCAATAAAGTTCGCTCTAACAAGCTCCAACTGTATTGGCTGAAGGAGAAACCAACTCTTATT